GAGAGAGAGAGAGAGAGAGAGAGAGAGAGAGAGAGAGAGAGAGAGAGAGAGAGAGAGAGAGAGAGAGAGAGAGAGAGAGAGAGAGAGAGGGGTGACGACTGCGACGCACGCGACGGCGGCGGAGACGACGACGACAACGGCGACGAACCAAACGTGGCGGTGCGCGTTTAGTCATTGAACATGTTTTCAATTATTGAACGCGCGCGTTTATTTTTTGAACGCGCGTTTAAAAATTGAACGCGACGAGACTGCGGCTCAGTGGCGGGCATTGTGTGTGGCGGGCGGTTGTTTGGGGTGTCGGAGCGAGGCTTGGGGCACCTTAGGGTGGGGGGGGGTGGCGGTTTTTTTTGGACACACCGGCGGACCATTGGAGTGGCCAAGGCGAGGATTGCTGAGGCCGCGGAGGGTTACAGCGCAAGACCAACATGCCGCGAGGTCAGGCGCGAGCGTTTGAGGACGCCGGGGAAGACAAAAATCACAAGGCGCAGAAGAAATGTTGTGTCTACAAGTACATCCGCGTGGGTCAAAGTCTCGGGGAGATGTTCTGCGTGAACCGCATGTTGAAGTGCCTGTTCTGCGGCGATGAGTTCCAGGGAAACCAGTACGTGGCGGCACGCCATTTCAGGCAAGGGAAAGGGTGTCCGTCAGTGACCGATGAGGCGCTGGTGGACATAAACTACAACTCCCACTACAAGCTGGAAGGCAAGATCCTTGACCACATGCTCCGGTTCGAGGAGCTTCACGGTCCGACACCCGCCATGGATCCGCGCCTGGATGAGGGAGGGGCGGGACAAGAGAGGGGCGACGAGGAGGTGGTCGATGTTGACAACGTCAAGGATGAGGGTGCGCGGGCAGCAAGGCCTGGTCCATCGACGAGGGACCAAGGAAAGGACGTTGTTCACGAGCCGTGGGGCCAGCAAGGTCGTTTCCTTCAGGATGCGCACGTGTCGGCTCACACTCAGGTGCATCGCTATGCGGAAGACGTGGCGGCTGCTGTGGGGAAGAGAAAGGAGAGAGAGGAGGCGGCGAGGCCGGGTGGACAAAAACGGCTGAGACAGAACACCATCACGGAGTCGTATTCTTCGCAATGGCAGATGGAGTTCAAGAAGAAGTTTATGAGGTTTGTCTACAGTCAGCGTTTGCCGTTCAACGTCTTCCGGAGTGAGCCATGGAAAGAATTGGTAAAACACTTCAGGGACTTGTCGAGGCCAGTGAAGGTTTTGTGGCCGTCACATAACGAGATCGCCGACATGGAGACCGTTGTCCGCACTGCTGACGATGTGGCGGGTGATCTCGCAGAGGTCAGGGCTCCTTTCTATGTGACGGGGGCCACCATCATGTCGGATGGCAGGAAGTCATGGGATGCCAGACCAATCGTTAACTTCCTTGCCTGCGGGTCGCGCTGAGTGATGATGGTGCGGACAATGAACAGGGAGGGCGAGCGAGACCAGGCGGCTGATGTTTTGGCACGTTGGATCAAGGTGTTCGATGACTTCCCTCCTCGGTGGGTGAATGCCATCTGCACGGACTCTGCCTCTTCGCACATCGCTGCGACAAACATGCACCAGGGGCCCCAACAGAGGCCAGAGATTCGACGGATCACGTGGTTGTAGTGTGCAGTGCATGTCTGCAGCAAAATGTTGTCAAACATTGGCTTGTCAAGCCCGTGGTCAAAGGACATCATTTTGCGTGGGAGAGTGGTGGTGTGCTTCATTAAGGATCACGGCGCCGCTTTGCATATCTTCAAGGGGGAGAGCACACAAATGAGACTTATTTATACTTGTGAAACACGATTCGCATCCGTGTTCGCTATGATGGAGCGTTTGCTGGCAGTCAGGTCAGCGTTGGAGAGGATGGTGGACGGCGACGGTTGGGGTTTAGTCCCCTGGGACAGTACCGTTGCTCAGCTGGCGCCGTGGGTTAGCTGGCAGGTGCGACATGATCCTTGGTGGGATTCCATGGGTGTCCTTGTCCGCATTATGGAGCCCGTGTACTACATGCTTCGCAGGTTGGACCAGAGAGGGATGCACATGTCGCGGGTTGTGCAGTGGATGCAGGACGTGACCCGCGATGTGGCACGCGAGGTCCGCGCACTTCCATCGGGCGTTGCACGCTTCATTATGCAGAAGGTGCAGGCTCGGTGCGCTCACATGTTGGAGTCGGTGCACGCTGCTGCTCACCTTCTTTGTCCCAGTCGCCAAGACTTGAAGTACTACGAGGGCGTCGTCAGCGACTACGATGCGAGACTCGTGCGGGAGGAAGAGATGTACATCCTCACATAGACTGGGTTTAGTGTCGCGAGCCCCGATTACGAGGCTGCATGTGCCCAGCTGCGCGACTTCCACACACGGAGAGGGGGGATTGCGTGGGGGGGAAGGGATGGAGACAGGGAGGCACAAAGGTGCACCGGCGACGTGGAGACGTACGAAGCCAGTTGTTGGTGGTCGAAGTAGGGACAGTGCGCCCGGCAGCTGCAGGCCATCGCTCTTCGTGTCATGTACATGTGGACATGTTCCTCTCCCACAAAGAGGAACTGGGCTGTCCACGAGGCTGTGCACACGAAGAAGCGCAACAAGCTCGAGTTCGAGAAGGTTGCAAAGTTGGTCGAGATCTCAGCCAACGTCCGCCTTCTCTCACACCAGCGGGCTGGCCGCGGCTTTGCATCGTCGTGGACGGTCGATGAGTCCATGTTGGATCTCGAGGGAGGCATCGAGACTCAACCGTCGTGGCAGGGGACGGACGCCAGCAGGTCGCAGGAGGACCGGGAGAGGCAGAGACGTTTGTGGACGTGAGACCCGTGTGGATCGAGAGCTCCTCCTAGAGAGGTTGGAGAGGTTTTTGGGACTCGGGCTGCCATGTTGCGCCCCTACCCTAGAGATGACGACAGTGATGACGAGGACTCGGAGGGGGGGAAGGAGCGGGCGGGGCCTGCTGACCATCCAGCCTCGCAGGAGGCCGGTGAGTGGAGAGACCCGGAGGACGTCCGTAGACGTAGCGGCAGGGGTGACCTTTTCTGTGGAGGTGACGGGAGCCCTCTGGAGCGAGAGCGGCCTTCGTCTCCCCAGTCCGTCGATATACAGGCGGTGCATGGATCTGCGCGTTCTAGGGGGGCAGAGTCAGCTTGCGGTGCCGACATTCCTGGACAGCATCCCAGACGTATTCGCAGTGGGATGGCTTCATCCGACGTTGTTCCCCCTCCGTCGGGGGATCTTCGTCGAGGTTCGCCCCCCAGAGTGCGACTGCATCGATTGGTGAAGGGCCCGAGACAGCGATTAGAGGCGACATTGGTGGGCGGTCCTTCACCGAGTGAGAGTGTCGAGCGAGATGTGGAGAGGCCGACTGCTGGATGTACTGCTCCGTTGTTAGGAGATGAACATAGTCCAGTTGAGGAGGCGGTTCAGACAGACGGTCTGGGGGGGGTTGTGATGACAGGATATCGATGGGCGGTGGCAAAGATTTTAGTCAGTTTGGTGATTTGGGAGTGCCGCTCGGAGAGAGCGATTATCGGGGGGACTTGAGTGTCGGCATGCAGGCCATATTAGACTAGATCAGTGCCATGCAACCGAAGACTTTCACCCCTGCCATGCACGGAGCGCTAGGAGCGTTGCCAACGGAGGTTCAGGTTGATGAGGAGGCCACACCCCCGGGAGAGACATCAGTAGAGAGGTTGGACAGGCTTGACAGTTGTTGAGCTTGCCTCCTGGCATAAGCTGACCCCAAGACACAGGAGTTAGCCCGTCTAGCAGCGGAGGAGCGACAAAGATAATTGGGGACGTTTATGGAGACGCCCCCTAACGCATAGGAGGCTACCCACGTCGATCCGATGACAGAGGTTCGTGAGGGGATGCAGGAGGAGGCAGCTGTACTCGAGGCACCTTCGGCAGGGACGCAAGTGGAGGCAGCTGCAAGCGAGGCGACTTCCGCAGGGATGCAGGGGGAGGCGGCCGGACGCGAGGCAGTTGGAGGCGAGACGGGTGGAGGCGAGGCAGCTAGGATGCAGGGGGAGGTGCAGGGGTTGCACGAGACCGGGGTCACTGCATCAGACGACACGCGTCTGCTGCCCGACAAGCCTCTTCACGATGAGCGGAGGACCGAGGATGCTTTGCCTGAGACCGAGGACATGCCTCCAGGTCTAGAGTGCATATAGACGGGTCAGTTAATAGGCGTTGATGATGATGCACCATTAGCACAGGCAGATAAGATATCGCCGACCACGGGGGGGGGGGGAGGGAGATGTTGTGGGGGACGCTATGGTTGGGGGGGTAGAGGAGCGAGTCCATGGTGATCCGGTGTCCTTGGTTGGGGGCGGTCGCCATGCAGAGGTCGACAGCGGGGTCGTACATAGAGAGGAGGCGATCGGTACCCCTGATAGAGACAGACACGAGGCGTCTTCGAGTTTGGTGGTCCGCACGGCCGTGGGGCCGGTGCTGCCACATGGGGCACCGTTTCCTATAAATCCAATGCGTTGTGAAGGTGGTGTCGCCTCGATCGTAGAGCAACGTGTAGGCAGGGGCATGTGCGCGCCTCCGATCCCCCCTTTCGCACCTTCTAGGGAGAGGACACAGTCCAGGTTTGTGCCTCAGCCTCGCGGCACCCTTGCATTCGGTTGTATGACTGCCGAGGAGTTGGAGGCGCACGACACAATGGATTACACAGGGATCGACACCGGCCGACCGGACTTATCTTGGGCGCCAGCCAGCCCGAGCTTACCATCTGGAGGTCCCCCTGCAGCGCCCTTTCACGGGGGTGGAGGGCCATTGTCAACCCCGTCCGCAGATGTCCAGCCGCGCGGTAGTCACACCCTGAGGTCGGCTGCCCACAGACAGAGAGACACGAGCGACCATGGACGGGACACGATTTTGTTTGGTCGCACTGATCGGCCATGGAGCGGACGAGACGGGTGACATCTGCGAGCGCGGGTCGTCAGCCGGGTTTGAGAGGGGTCTCCACGAGCGGGGGTCGTCGAGATGTTGTAGCATCGGGTTTTGGCGACAGAGGCGGGGATAGTGGTGGCATTCGTGGCGGACATGAGGGCATGCGCGATGTTGATGCAGAGGTAGTACAACGGCCACTAACGTACGGTTTGAGAGAGGTCTCCATTAGTTTAGACGAGCCCGAGGTTGGTCGACGAGCCAGGCAGGCCCGACATGTGCCGATCGATCGACGCCAGGAGGAGGAGACTTCAGGGGCAGACGGTCTGCCTATGCGCCGCGGGTCTTGCCAACATGTTGATTTAGCAACCGCAGGCGTCAGACCAACCAGAGGTAGGAGAGTTATCATGGACGACAACCCCGACGACCCTCCTGAGCCTTCAAGTGCTGGTCGTGGCGAGCAGCGCCAGAGAGGTGGACCGCATGGCACCGCTCAGACACATGGACGAGCTTCGCATCGGTCTAGGCAGCGTTCGCCTGCAGATGAGGATCGTTGACTGTATACAAACTTTCGTTTCTTTTTTTTCTTTTTTTGTGTAGTTTAGTTTTTTGTTCTCCTTGACCAGCATAGCGTTCAGTGATTTTGCGCAGTTCACTGTTCACACTTCTTTTTGTTCGGTACTTAGAGATAGGCAATAGGGTCGGTCTTCGACATTATGTGTCAGATGTTTTTTTATGTTGTCCATGCGACACTGATTTACGTTTTTTTTCTCTCTCTTTTTTTTGGGGGTTTAGTTTGCGGTTCTCTATGACCGGCATAGTGTTTCGGGATTTTATGTAGGTGACGCGGGCGTTTCGAGATTTATTTCTGTACTTTAGATCGAGGTTCTCCATCATCGGCGGGTGTTTGACTCTATGTGTCGAATGTATTTTGCTATTATCCATGGTACACTGATTTGTGTTTCGGTTAAGATATTATCTCGCCATTTGTGGTGTTTTTGTTTTATGGATGATGAGTGCTGCATGTGTCGGTTTATGTTTTTTCCACGTTGTCATTTCATGCGTTTGATAAACCAATGTGTGAACTTGCATTTGAGTCCATGAATGATGAATGAAGTGACAATTAGATAAGTGTGTGTGTGTGTGTGTGTGTGTGTGTGTGTGTGTGTGTGTGTGTGTGTGTGTTTGTTTGTTCCAGCTCTCTTACAACACCCAAGTGCAACATCTCAGAAAACCAAAGAACCCTTGTTGGAATTAGTTGAATTATCCCTCCAAAGCCCCCGCCATCCCCCCAATACACAACAACATTTACCTCCAGGGTGCGGTTTCAATTTCGGAGTCACGAGGGATGGGAGGTGGTGGGGTGGGGTAGGTGGGCCGACGGGGTGTGGGTGCTGGGGCGGAGCAGTTGGGGGGATGTGGGATTTGGGGTGGGTGGGCCAAGGGGGTGCCGGTGTCGGGGCGAAAAAGGTTCAGAGGGTGGTGTATCATTTTTTTTCTTTTTTTTG